TGAGTTTTTGTTGTTAAAATATACTTAATAATTGGCTTGATGGCATCTGATATGTAATAAATACTGTTTTCTCCCAAATTTAGTTGTAGTTGTTCTGGTCTGAAATTTGGTAGGAAGAGAAGAAAAGAGCTTTGGCTTTCCCAGACGTAGATGTTACTTTGGTTTACTTTATAAATACAGTGTCCTTTCTTTTTTGGAGGACAATTTTATAATGTCAGCATAAAAAGAAGCTAATTGTTCGATCTGCTCATATGTCAACTTCATGGTACCTTCTTTCAGGAAGTGTCTGTATATGTATACCAGATGTATACCAGGTGTATACCAGGGAGCAAATACTAGGATGTACATTGCAGCGTGTTTACCTTTTCGTCCTCCCCCTCACTGTATTGTAATAATCTCTCAGGGAATACTCTACCTCCAGTGTGAGAAATTAACCAAGCCTATATGTATGCATTATGATCTCCAATATGGATTGTTGGCGAATAATACAGCTCCTAGTTTTAAAGTGCAAAAGAAAATGATTATGTTTTTGTAGGCATATAATATGTATGTAAAACTTGTCAACAGGCTTTCAAAAGGATGTACATCAGAATACTCTTGGTGGTTACTTTTCCCAAGAGGAGTGGGATTGTGGAGAGTGGTCAAAGGGGACATTGGGTTTTATCTGCTGCTAAATTTTTTTTTCAAAGGATGTGTCACTATAACTTGCACAGTTTTAAAAGTAAAATTAAAGATCGGGGTGCCTAGCTGCTAGGCTCTGTAGGTGGAGCATCTGACTCTTGATCTCAGCTCAGATCTTGATCTCAGGGTTGTGAGTTCAAGCCCTGTGTTGGGCTCCACATTGGGAGTGGAGCCTACTTAAAAAAAAAAAAAAACCTGAATAAATAAATTAAAGATACAGTGTTTATCATTGTGATATGTCAAAATTGAAATAAAAGGAACAGCTAGCATTTAGGTTTAATTGTCCTTTTGTGATTTGAATAGAAATTTTGAGTAGATAGTAATAAGGAAATTCGGGCAATTGTGAATGGCAGCTTTTTATCATTCATATAGAGAATAGCCTTACCTGTAAGCAAGTGTCAAGAGATGTATTTTGGAATTTAACTTCTCATAGAATTGCAAGATTTATAGGGTTGTGACCATGTTTTCTTGTCATTGTCCTTTTAAAACTTCTGAGTAACTTGCAAATTCCTTTGAAGTGGGACCTATCATTTCATTTATGGCTGTTTTCATTACTATGGGCCAGGTGCTAAAAACACTGGACATGGTATTAATGCCAAACAGTCTTAAGGAATATGCCTAGTGAAATTCTGCTTTTTAGTAATAATAAATCATGGGAGATTGGAATTACCCTAGCGAGATGGATTATATGTATTTCTGAAGAACTATCACTTTTTGAGACACAGCGGAAATTTTTTCTAAACTTAAAAATAGAACAAATTAATGATTAATTTTTGGATGTCAATGATCGGTGTCTTGAACTAGGCTCCCCAAATGTTTGGAGACTTGAAAATAATGGTGCTTAGGGGTGACTGGGTGGCTCAGTCAGTTGGGTGTTTGCCTTCAGCTCAGGTGGTGATCTCGGGGTCCTGGGATGGAGCCCCACAGTGGGCTCCCTGCCCAACAGGGAGTCTTCTCCCTTTCCCTCTGCCCCCCCCGCCCCCTGCTTGTGCTTGCGCCCTCTCTCTCAAATAAATAAAATCTTTAAAAAAAAAATGGTTCTTAAACTTCACTGCACCTAAGAAAGCACTGGTATGGAATAAGGAGGGGAGACTAAAAAAAATTATTGATGCTTGGATCCCACTACCAAAGATTCTGGCTTGAGAGAGGAATAGCCTTAGCATCTAGATTTTTTTTTTTTTAAAGAGCTCAAATGATTTTTTTTTTATTCTTAAGTTAATCCCCTACATTACATCATTAGTTTTAGATGTAGTGTTCCATGATTCGTTGTTTGTG